GTGGGGGAACTTGCACAATCGGTGGCTGACTAAATACTTTTTTGCCCCACTGTATCTGGTTCCCTCAGGCAAAGCATGCCATTCAGCAGCAGTCACTGATAACACATAAACATGTGGTAGGGGTATCCCTCTTACTAAATGACTAAAGACTTACAACCAGTAATTTGAAACACCACAGAACCATGAGTACTCCCTCACTGTAACTAATTATGTTTGAGTCTATGCAAAGACCGTAATTAAATATTATCAAAATTCAGAGATCAAGTCCATTGAACCATAACTTAACCACTACTGTTAACGACCTTAATGGCTCGTACAAATAAGGACAGTAGATTTTAAGCCACCCATTCACCTGATGTAAACAAAATGCTAAAGAAGAAACCCTTTACAGTTGGCTTTGCTATATTCACATATCCGTTTTCTGCATTCTCTCCATAATTTTGTCTTTACAGACCCAAGAGGAACAATCAATTTGCAGCTACTCTACATCAGCAACATTAAAAATAAATGGGCCTAAAACACAGCAATGTGAACAAAGTGCAAAACTACACTTGTAACATCAGCCTTTCTTTTCATTTGTCACTCCTTTAATCTCACAACAAAACAGAGAAAAAAAACTGCACTGAACAGAAAAATTTCACAAGAAAGCTGAAATATTAAGGTATTGTTGGAGCATCTTACCTGATGCAGTCTGAATCTGCGTAGTGGTGGTCTGGTTATCTGTGATCACTGCAGCTGGATCGGCTGTTGTACTGGCCACCGTTGAAGTCGTTGGAGCAGATATAAAGAATTCTGTACCAAACTCTGCTGCTGTTTCGTCCTCCATCAAGGTGCTACCAATTCGCTCTGTCACCTGAGTGGAAGACTCATCAAAGACATGGACAGTTGCTGAAGATTTCACTTCCTCAGTTAACATTACACTGTCGATCAGGATGATTGTGCCTGGTGAAACTTCAGGTGTTGCTGGTGTCTCAACACTGCTGGCAGTATTTGGTGTCACTGTGGTGGTTACCTTCACCTCACTGACACGATGGGTGTTATTTAAAGGTGGAATGGCTGTGATTGTATCATCAATTCTATTGGTGTCTGAAGGGCTGGCTGAGCCATCTGGTTGGGATGCCCTAGTAGGTGGCTGACCCTCTAAACCTATTATAGGATAAATGTCATCGTAGCTCAAATTATCGTCTGTTGCTATATCACTGATTGAAGGTGATGGTGTTAATTGTGAGGAGCTAAGCATTTCCTCATGGCTAACTTCAGATGATTTGGTCGGAGTGTCAGTGAGATCAGAGATCGATGTGATGTTCCTAGGATCTATGACAGTTTCCTCTGTCTCCCCTTCAGCAAACATGAGCTCGTTGCGGAGAGAAGCATCTGGTATAGGGACGTCAGGCTGAATCGTGCTGACCTGAATTACTGATTGATCATCTGACTCATCATCAGACACTGTGGCATCAGTGCTTTCCACCGTGATCTTAGTTTCTGTGGCTGTGCCACCATGGGCAGCAGCAGTTTCCACAAAGGTTACATTTTGATCATCAGTGCGAGAATCTGGCGCAGCTGTTACATCATCATCGTCCTCATGGTCGTCTTTGATAGTGGGTGCAACTGTTGTGATTAACTCTTCCTCATGGCCTGCTGGGGTGGGGCGAGGTGGAGCCATGCTGGTTGAGAACATAGATGGAGGATCTGTAGAAGAATCTGGAGAAACGTCTGCCTCTGATGTTTTTTCAGATGTCGTAGTTGTCAGAATGGTGCTACTCTCCAGTAAAGGGATGGAGGTACTAGGACTGATGATGTTGGTGGTCATTTCTACCACAGATACATCCACAAAGGAAGTCTGGCTGAATACCATTCTCCTTCCTATACAACATACATAAGCACATGATCACAAAGTCAGAATGAATTTAAGTATCAAACAGAGCTTTTGGTTGGCTAAAGTGACATTTCTATCACATTACTGATCTAGATAGCCAAGATTCATTGTTTCATTGTTCACAAACACCATATTGATGTACATTAAGAAGCCAAGATTACAAACAGTAATGTGATTCAGCAGGTCAATTTTAAGTCACCCTTAATAAGTTTGCGAGATAAGTCTAATGAGTCTTGCGAGATAAGTCTAATGAGTCTGTTGCAGTCAATTCGCGATAGCAGCAAAAATAAGTGGACACCCAATATTTAAATACCAAGTTTCCTAGAAACTTCCCTGTCAAAGGCTTCCTCTCTCATATCTAGCTTTAACAGTTATTCATTAAACTTCTTCAAATAAATTGTTGAAACCACAGTAACAAAGTTTTACTGTGCATTATAGGGCATGGAATCAGTGAGATTACCTCAATTTTATTTGAACAGCCAAGTGCACTTTAAATGTTTCTATGAGCGTGCTCTGTGGGAAAGGGCAACCATGTGTTTAACAGATGAATTAAACACCATATAAATCATAAGTAATCTAGTGTTGTGGTTTGGTCAAGAGCTACCCTGGCTTTTTTATTCGTGTATTCAACCCACCCGATTATCTGAAGAGCAGCCCTTGACTTGATCACTTGATTACAGTGATGGTGTTTAAAGTTTACTATTACAATTATTAAGACGTTCTTTTAACACTGGTTCTCCCCTGTCTTCCCAAGATCACTTTCATCAAAAGTTATCTCATTTACTCATAAACACCAGTGAAACCGTTTTAGAAAGCTTTTGTTTGGGGTGCAGGCAGAATCTGTAAAGGCAGCTGTTGACCATTACGTAGCAGACCCCTTTCCTCATGAAACTATCTCTGATGTAAGGTGTGACATATGTTTTTCCCTTACAGGAAAAACTGTGCTTGCTCTCAGAGGGAGTGCATTATGTCACCAACGAGTTTGAGCTGTTCCCTTTATTCAGACCTTTGTTTTCTTTAGGCCACTCCAAAAATCAATCAGAGACTAATTTTCCAATTTTCCCACTGCACTACCTCTTCTCTCTTCGTCTTTTTGTCTAATCTAAGTAGAGTCGATTTACACAATATTCCTTTTATTAAGATATGATCAGGCGTGGGAATTCAGGAAATGATGGAGTGAATCCTGCGAAATGAGAGTACTTGAAAAGCACTTACGCTGGGAGTGTAAATACAACACGAGTGAGAGGGCTGACATGAAATACACAGAGCAGAAGCTGAAGGTGGCCCATTTGCGTGAACTCTGCAGGGACTTATCACCACGAGAGTTAGCATGGCCCAGGGGCAGTAAATGGCCAGGCAGTGGGCGGCTTATCTGTCCAACTTCTCATTTGTAAAGATGGAAAGGCCAGGTCAGAGGTCAGCAAGGATGACTGAATTTAGAAGTCCAGCAGTAGCTTTGTCCGTTATCCAAACGTCTGCTCTGATAAGTACAAGTGAGAATGACAGACAGCAAACTGACAGAGGAAATGAGAGGTGAAAGATGGAAAGGTGGTAGATAGTGAGGCTAAAAAGGCTGACAGATGTGGCATTAGTTGCTTTTGGTGTTTCTCTAAATGGCAACTATCGCCTGTCATTTTCTGTTGTTTTAAGAAAACCGATTAGTTAAGAATGCTCACATTTTAAGGGATTAAGTCTAATTCTGCCTACTTCCAGTCAACCATGAAACGTCACTATTTATAAAGATTTACAGCTATAATTCCTTTCCCTCTCATGGTCAGTAATTATCACAGTGTGCAGCAAGAGTTGGCGAAAATAAAAAATTTAAAAAAAAAATCCTCATGATCTTATTTAGTGTTTAGGTTGATTCTTTGTTATAATGTGCAATTAATTTGACTTTATATATTACCAAGATTGATATCTTTAAATATTCAAAATTGCACTCAAGTGCATTAACTTGTTTTTGTTTGATTCACAATAACATTGAGGTTGTACGAGGGTAAAGCTTAAGAAACCTTGATTAGCCCAGCTGGAAGCAATAAAGAGTCAAACAGATATAAACTGTTCTCATTCTCTTAAGCAAACTTTTGGTCATTATTCCTCAATCAAGAAAAAAAAGTCAGTCTTTTGCTTTCAAAGAAAACAGAGTTTACCACTATGAATTCACTTTTCTCTTGGCTCGCTTTTTTGCCTCAGAAATGGGCGGGAGACAAACTTTGAGACAGTGAGGTCAACGGGATGCTGTAGTCTGGCACATGACATGCCGTGCTCAGAAGAAAATCCTCCCTCAGCGTTGCTCATGTTGCTGTTACTGAAACTATGCAATCGCAAGGCGTGAAACAGACGCAAACTAAGAGGGAGGAAAGAGAGGCTTTCAGATATGTTAAAAAGGTCAATGTGATTCAGAGATGGCAAAGTGTAATGTGGTGCAAAGACACAGAAAATCAAAGGGTGGAGAAGCAGGAGTGAATGTAGGAGATGAGATCATAGCTCCTTACAGTCAAGCATGGTTTTGTTAGGGAGTGGTCTGTGTCTTTGGTCACTTTCTGTCTCTTCTAACATATACGTCGCATATGTAGGTAACACTTTGTTCCATTACAAACTCCAAATGCAATAAGGAGTAACAACAGGAATCTTGGAGTGAGTTTTTACCTTTAAAGCAGTAAGCCCCAAACTTTCTAGTTGGTTCTGGGAAGCCAGTCTGATTTCTGTAGCGATACATGGTCCTCACGCCGAGTTGGCCTCCGCCACACTTAGTTCTGGGGACTGCGACAGGATGCCGTACGCTGCCATCGGAGAGCCAGCCGTAGTCACATCTGTCCAGCCCCTGTCTCCAAGCAGCATGCAGCTGTCCGGGACTTGCCAGGACAGCTTTCCTCTTTTTACACTCTTCACTGGCTTCTTCAAAAGTCATCTTATGGGTCACGGGAGCATAAAAGACTTGACCTGATAAAAAATAATGAGAAACAGTGGCAAATGTAGATGCACATAGGCGAAATAGCAACAAATCATCTGTGGTCACAGCAACACAAAAAGAGGGTTTATTACCTAGTAGATCAGAAGTAATTTCTCCTTTAAAATGTATTTATTATTTTTAGATTGAAAACATACTGAAATAGCCTATACTTTAGATTTTTACTCCATTCTGACCTTTCAGAAAAGACCAACACAGCTGACATCAGTCACAGCTGTGCAGGGCAGAGACCCAAAACATCTCCCACCAATCATATTTAGGACAACAGTAGTTCTTTCATTATATTATTCTGAGGTGGGATAGCAATGCTGAAAATGTGCCTGGCCTGTCCATAAATATGTTTGTATTGCAGGACATTAGGTTTCCCCAAAGTGAGTAGAGCAAACACCTGCTGTTTCCTTCCTTCATGTTCATGTCAGAATCCCTGCAGAATGACCAGTGTGAACGTTTGTCTATGCTCACAGGATTATATAAATGAAAAGGGTACTAAAAGCCAAGATCTTAACTAAAACCAAACAACATTAAGAGACGATGGCAGACTGCCTATATGTTTTCAGTTAGTTTTGGGCGTAACGTTTCAAATATCCCTTGATGGTTTCATCCCATTGATTTACCATGGCATTGAGATTAGGAGATGTCGTTCACACAGGAATGTTTTCCCTTTTAAAAACAGATAACATACGTTATATCCTCAAAAAACCTATTTGATTTCAGTATTTTACACGGTGGTTTTACTGGACCCTTCCTGCTCTTTAGATATCATATTGATGACTGCTATAAGCATAAATGGAGTTCACATTTTGTTTAGCTATATTATAAGATCCCTGGAATTACATAACTATAGAAAAAAAAAGCAGTCAGTGTCTTGCAGCTCACTCATTAATTTTCATGGTTAATTTATGGCCAAGTTATTACACTTAACAACCTCGAACACATCAAACCACATCCGCCAAGCATGTCTGTTCCTAGATCATAAATGGTTAGAAAACTGAGACAATATTACAATATAATGGAAATGAATATTCAGGTTGTTGTGGGGTGCCAAAATTTTCCTTGTTCAGTTCCAGAGGAAGACCGCTGTAACATGTCAGTCATCTCTATCGATTTTGTCCTTTCATTTCTCGTCCATCTCTATTCTCTAATGCACACAATAATGATGAGGGGTGTGTATATGCATATGTGTATATGTCCTCAGCGGATGGGTTCACGTTTATGACTCGAAGACTGTGACAAATATATTTGAACATATATTGTGTTGACTAAGATGACTGTGCAGTACAAATCCTAAGGTAGCTGATAAAGCACTTTAGTAAATAACAGGAATAACAGGATGGACAGAGAAAAAAGACAAACTAAGAGTTCCCATAAACTGGGCCAAAGACCTTTAATAACCCCATTATCACATTTTTGTTGGTGTCTCATTCAAAAACCACTGTAGAAAATATGTTTCAAGTCCCACTTATAAGGAAACTGGAAAAAGGTCACCCACATTCACCAGCTTTTATATTTAAACAAGAACAAAAGTGTGTTTCCAAACTGTAAAAATTAAATGTACTTAAGCATGGATGATGATTTGAAGGCTTCTTAAGTTCAGACTAAACATGGGTCAGTGCTACGGAAGGACAATCCACTACTTACCATCCAGTTTGCCTACATAACAGTACACATCGTAGGTCTCTGTAGGTTTTCTGGTTCCATACGACCTGACACCAGGTTTATTAGGAAGGTTGCCATGACAGCCCTCTCTTGGCCTTGTAATTGGGTATCTGTATAAAAAAAGAGAAACAAAGAGCCATTTTAAAGTCTTTGTCTTTCACATCACTCCAGAATTCAGTCGGACATATAGAGCATACGTGATTAAACAGCAGTGTTGTTGTCTCTGGGACAGGCAACTGAAATGCAGCTAACCTCACTGTCTGGTCAGCAATCCAACCGGCATCGCATTGATCAAAGCCGTCCTCATAGGCTGCTTTCAGTTGCTCATAGGTTGCAATGTTTGCTCCAACGTTTTCACAAGTTTGTACAGCTTTCTGGTAGTCCAAAGTGTACCTGCTGATGCTTGATCGGTAGTGAAAGACAACACCTAACGATAAGCAGTGAAAAATGAAAATGAAAATTAAAAACTCAGGCATGGAGTGATCTGGAAGTCATTAGTTTAACTTCAGCGCTGTAAATTATGGCAAACGTCCTATAAAGCACCCTCTATGTGTGATATAACTAGGTCACTCAGCTTCTTCGGAAAGAAGGATCTCTGCAATAAATGGAGGAGCGACACAAAATGCAGTTCACCACAAACAAACGAGAGAACTCCATATGATGCCATGGCCCTGAAATCCCCATATTTGTGGACAGTAAATAGACGCAAAAGATATGATTGATAGTCATAATTAACATTGCAGAGAGTTGGAAAAGAGGTTATGCAGATTGTAAACCAGTGAAAACCAAAACTATCTGAGTGTCCCCCCCCACCCATGTTTTCTACATGAGTTATATCTCCCAGCGTACTTCTCAAATGAGAGCATGTAGAATGCACATGACACTAGGTAAGGATTGATGACCCCACCCCCCACCTCACCACATCCCCTACCAGCATAAGGACACTATCATTTTTAGGATGCTGAAGAATACTGCCTCCCACAGACATACTAACGCTTCCTGTGTGCCCGTAAAATGAAATAAAAAATCTATACTGACACGGTGGCACCCAATATTACAGCAATGCACTGTGTTTGAATGGATAATGAACTGATAATCACTGGAACTAAGGCACTGCTGTGGCTGATATGGAAAATTACCAAAAAAAAGGTAATCTGACTCTTTTTCAAGAGAGCGTCACCTCTAAAATAAAAGCTGTGGTTACTCTGCATGACTAACGGTTAGCTGCTGCTATCAATGTAAGCAAAAGGACGCCCATAACTTTCCCATCCTGTTTACATTTCTGTCAGCACTTGTGTGGCATTTCACTATTATTAAGTTTTGCAGCATCCCACCTCTACAATTTTAAAGTTTTTGTCTAATTCCACCATAATAGAGGAAGGATACTGGGAATCTCTTACCGCTGACATCAAGGTTAACAATATCCTGGGTGTCTTCAATCCCGAACATGACCTCGCAACGATAAGTGCCAGTGTCACTGGCACGCAGCTTCACAATTGTGAGCGAGGCGTCACCGACAACTTCAGGGTGGCTGGGTACTGATACACGGTTCCTGTAGCTTGAGCCTAGCTTGATGATCCCATTTTGTGCCACCAGCACCGTGGACTCTGTTCGTCCCTGTATTTTGCTCCATTTTATCCGCAAGTAATCCTTGTTGTAAACGACTGTTCCACTGGGACTGATGACTGGTGCTGAGGTTGGGATTGTGGAAAAGTAGCAGGGAAGATTTACCTTCCCTGAGAGGGACCCTATGACTGGTTGGATGACTGATAATGCATTTGAGGCTGAAAGGCAAAAGGCCAGAGTTAGATGGAGTGCAAGTTCATTTAATGTTTCTATTTTAATGGCAACCTTCTTTATTGTTTTATTTTATTCAAAATGCACATATCTCCTCTTCAATTTTCACTCTTATCCTAACAGATCGAACCAGACAGTATGAAATGCACAAGTCATTTGCACTGATAGGGTGTGACCACTGCACCAAGCCTTTAAAAAAGCATCCATTATGACTTGACTCTTGGAAAGTTAAACCTCAACTTTAAAATGATGGGTGTGGGAACATATTCAACACAAGGGCAGTGTATGTGCAGCATGTCTGCATCAAGTTATAGATAATCAGGGAAAGAGGGAAAGTCATCATGGTTGTATTATTTCATGAAAGTTTGCTGCTAAGCTCTGTGCATGTTCCTGCTTTAAAAAAAAAGGATAAACTAAATAAGCAAACCCACAAAAACAGAAGTATGTCAGTGAACAGTATTATGTGTATTCTGCATGTCAGATAAAGTTCTAAATGCAAATGGCAATAAGATGATTACAGTTATTTTGGATGGGGTAGAAAAGCATTCACAGGGAATAATGGGAGGAATGCTCCGTGCGGACAGACCAAGAGGTGTGAGTCTGTGTGCTTCAACAGAGGGTCTTATTAGGATGTGGGATGAAACCAGCTGTTCAGCTTCCAGACTGGAAGCAGAGTCTAATTGAAAGGTGTCCATCCCATACCCAGAGACAGAGACAAAGCTATGTGGACAAGTAGTATGCAGGTCCTAGATTGTAACCCTCAATTCCTCTTGACCTACCTCTAAGTAGAGTCTTGCAGGTTTCACACAGCAAAGACTGGAAGAAACTTATCAAACATGCTAAACAGTTGCTCTGGAGCTATAAGAAGAGTAGAGGAATACAAAGGGAAAAAAGGGCAGAGGCAGGGAGAAGAATGGAGGGAGGGATGTGGGTGGGGAGTGACTAAAAAAAAAGAAAAACAGAGAAAATCCAAAACTTAGGCATGGAGTCAGGGAGCAGGAGAAAGAGGAGTGACTGAAAAACAAGGGAGGAGAACTAACCCATTCAAAGCTTACCTGTTGCAGCTGCAGCTTCACAGAGGCAATATAACCACAGGACATGCTTTATATTCAGTATCATCTGTTGGAAAGAAGAAGAAAAAAGGAAAGGGGGTGCAGCTTAGGAAGCAAGAAATTTAAAGTTTAAATGTTAATTGCATCCACATTTGTCTTATGGAGAAATGCAACTCCTACAGTAGGTTATAACAGACAAGTCTGTTTAAGCACTTTTCTAACATTATGGTCTGGAGAGAAAAAAATACTCCCCATTTATTAAGCATGTGTATTCGCAAAATATCCACATGAAAAAATTGATGTTCCAACGGGCTAAAGTGTGATTTTAATACGTTTAATACGTTGTGTTTATAATATCTATTACCAAGCACGATCTTTTATTCGTCTCTAACTAAGATGTTGAGCTTTGTATGTCTCGGGGGTTCAGATGTAAGACTCCCTGTGGGGTCGGAGTTGTGAGTTTGTGGAGACAGAAGGAGAGGAGCACCGAGCCCCTCACCCTCATTTGCACCCCGCTGTATAAACACATGCGGTGGGTCGCAGTGCTAACTGAAAACTAGTATTGTTTGTTTTCAAAGGGAGACAATCTCGCACTAATGGCAACTGGCAGGTTCAAAAGATCATCCTCTAAAATACTGCAGGATGGCAGTCTGCGCCTTTAACTCCCACGAGATCCACGTCGATTCAATTGAACCATTCTAACGGAAAATAAATGAGACTTTAAAAATATTTTAATACCATATATCGACGGAGGATATATTGCTCTTAGCTTAACGTGAAATAATTTAGTCATATTTACACAAAGACATGCATGACTTGATGTAATTGCTGAAGTTTTTTAAACCCTCTTTCTCTCTCTAAGAAAGCTGAAAAACGAACACAGATCAATACTGAAGCATCACAGGGAAACTAATTGGTTGCAGGCTTTTACAGTTCGAGCGCAGTTCAGGGATGTCCCTTGCTATGAAGCACAATCGTCCGCTTTAAGTACAGTTATTGATTCAAAACCTCACTTTTGGCAATAGCAACACTTTATGCGACGGTTCTTCTTCTCAGGAACACCTGTTGCTTCTGGACACTCCACAGAAATTATGACATGGGTGGCATGGTCACTCCAATTTCTAACAACTGACTGCGGAGTAATCTCCAGTCCACAGACTCTTTTTTCTGAATTGTTTGTCTTACTCGTCAAGAAACATCTGCACATCGGTGCAGGTTATCTGAGGACAACATCGTGGCGCGTGTGTTTGTCTTAAACGACTTGTGTTCTTAAAAGTTGCATTCATTTGATTTAATATTTGTTTAATATTATAGCAAAATACACATTGAAAAAGCAACAAACCAACAATAGGAAATCAGTTATTTTGCAAAGAATTGTCTCAATTCTTCCTTAATTCAAAGATAACTATCCAAACAGAAATAAACTTACCTTTAAATGATTTTTATTCCATAAAATGTACAAAAATAGATTTACGTCCTTATACGGAATTAGTCCCGGTCCGCAACATGCGTGCGTAAAAAGTGCCTAAATAGGTCTGTTCCACATTGGAAGCAGCACTTATCTTCCCCTTGATGCTCCGCAGTTGTAGTGTCCTGCTCTGGAATGATGGGCACACAGCGACTGAGACCGTGAAATGCTGGCACGGAACAGCTTCAATTTTACCTAAATCACGCGGTTATTTCGTCAGTGTCAAGAGGTGGGGCCCATAAAAAAAGTGAATGAGACAGAGTGGAGGAGGGAAAAAAAACTCTAATTTGACCGTGTGCCTTAGAGGTGTACCCTCTGCTTCTTTATCAAGGATCTTTTTGGCTGGTAACAAGAGTCCCATATGAGCGTCAGATAGCATAAAAGTAATCAAAACTAAGAGAATAGCAAATTAAAAGATATGTCATAGCTTTTTCATCTAAATATCAAGAAACAGATAAATCATCTACTGTGGGGAGCGCACCAATCAAGGCTGGGCGATGGAAACGGGGCGGTCCACACATGGATGGTTGAGTTTGAGTCACAGAAGATACTTCAGTCAACACTGTGAGGGAGTTTTCCCATCCATCCCGCAGTCTCATCCGTCATGCGAGCATTTGGTGTGCTAGTATGAATGCAGTTTTTAAGGTGCTAAGACAAAAGTTCATGTGATCATCAAGAGAAACTGATGAGGTTGAATAAAAACGTGTCATTTCTGATCACTGTGCAAAACCGCCTAACTAAGAGTGAAACAATGGCGGTTAACTGAAGGCTTTGGTCTTGCTATTTTACATAAAGAGAGGGGGCAAGGCTTATAAAGTTGCCTGATGATCATCATTATTGGCTACTACAAAGCACACAGCAAAATCTCCAGTGTTAAATTAATACTAGAGAGTGTCTATATGGGTCCACACCTCTGAGTGTTAAATACAACACTGTTGAGTGTTAAATTAACACTTTTGACAGTGTTATATGTTTAAAAGTAACCGAGTCAGTTTTGAAGATTAAAATTTTCAAATTCAAATTCACATTTTATTTGTCACGTACACAGTCATGCACAGTACGATATGCAGTGAAATGCTTAGACAACTGCTCGTGACCTAAAGAGAAAAAAAAGGAAAAAGCTATGAATAAGATA